GAATAAAACACTACAATCGACCTTCTTTCATTAAGCAAATAAAGGTTATAAATGTTGGTAAACAAAAGGTAGGAAAACGGTCGCTATCTCTGAACAACAACAAAAAACACGGTAATTAAAAAGCATAAGCAGATCCTTGGATCATAAATATTAAAAAGATACGCTTTCGAGCCTTCACAAAGCATTAATGAATTAATATGTTCTCGTCAATGTCTTAAGCTGTGGTATCAACAAAAACACGTCACCTTCGAAAATTACCTCATTTATCTAAAGTTGCAGCAGCGCCAGGGCGTTGCAATTCCCTTCATTTTAGTCTTTTGTGTCCATTGTTTGTTCCGGAGTTAGGTAAAGTCAACAGTGTCGTTGCAGACTAAACAAAGACGTGTCCCACGCAGAAAAAAGGAAAATCTTGAGATAATGTAGTTAAGACCCCTAATGAAAAATTGGATAACCTTAATGTTCAAATAACCGTTTTCATTAGAAAGGAGGCTTGTAAACACGTTTTTATGTTGGCATCGATTTTAGATTAAGGATATCCAGCATTACACTCAGCCTTGAAAATGCTAACTTGCCAAACACTTAGATCGTCGCCAAGGTAACGCGCTGTTAAGTTCTTACTAATTTTATGGTGTTAAGTGTTTTTAACCGAATCTTAATAAGCAACTGCCATATTTCTTGGTTTTTTCAAGTGATTTAAAACACGGAATAGGATTTTAAATAATAATAATGATAATTAAGCTTGCTTTCTGTTGTAATTGGGCACTTACAACTCGAGAAGAAGTGGCCAAACCAGATGATTTAAATAAGACTTAAATTGATAACTGTAAACAACGTCACGCGTGTGTGTCGAAACTGATTGGCTTCTGAATCGACAAAACGCCACGATTTATCTACGATGACATCACTTACAGTTATCCAATTAGTCTAAACAACTTTCAAGGAAGCAATAAAAAATATTTGCTATTTTAAAAAATAAAAGCGCAATATTAATGGCTCATAATTGATGAGAGACTTCTTATATCCAGTTTACAATCAACCTGTCCACACAGCCTTCCTATTGACAAATATTTAAGTTCAATCCCATAAAATTCATCCAGTTATCGTGAAATACTAAACACTACTCAAGTGACTGCCGAATCAACTATCTCAGCAAGCTTGTCCTCCGATGAAACATTTTGGCTCTATTTGCAAATTTATAAACTGCAAAGGAGAACCACTAAACTTGCCTTGATAAACCAATGACAGCAGTATTCTATTTCATCTACAACATGGTATGATTCAAAAATCGTTTAAACTACAATACATAATGTTAAGTTCAGTAATTCCAAACTTTATTAACTAATTTCTTCCATTAATTTTTAAGTTTAAACACAACTCAGAAAACAATGCAACTTCCGAATGAGTTATCAGGGCAAAATTGCCTTCTAAGAAAACATTTTGCTTCCTGTTTGCGTTGTGGGTTAAGGAAAACCCCAAAACTTACCCAGATAGCTCAATAGCAATGATACATTGCATAGTTAGCAACACGGTACCATGCGTCAACAAATATGTTTCAAACTACACACAACGTTATTTTTAGTTAACACAAATTTTTTACCTAGAATTTGTATCTGTTATCATTCAGTTTCACTAAAAACTCAGATGGGAAGACTACACCAGTGAAAAAATAAATAGATAAAAAAAAAACACTTTTGCTTTTTTTCTCCGTACGTAGAAAGGAAAAAACAAGACCTAGCAATGGTCCAATGACAATGGAGCTATAATTTAATTACAACATGTAAGTCAAATAATATCATTCAAATTATAATATTTAATTTCACATTAAATTTCAAAATTTACTAACTTAAATCCACACGGTAAAAAAATTTCACGTAAAATTTGCTTACTCTATGGAAACGACTTTTCTAGTACAAAAAAACTAATCCTAATTCTGATGGTTAATTAAACCAAAATATACGTTTTTTAAATCATTCATTAGATAATTTTTCCATTCATATAGTAATGATATACCGCAATTTCTGGTTTTTAAAATTTGAGTTCCAATTGCCACACGTTTAATGAAAAATACAAAACTGAAAAGTAAACTTAATAGAATAAATGGTTTTCATGCCATGCTCTAAGATATCATGGTAAAATTACCTAATTTTACCACAGCTACCAAATTTTAGCACCCATTATAAAACTATATTTTTCTGCTAATTTTACTCTTATCATTACCAAAGCTATTCGGTAAAAATTACCGTGTTTTTTGGTTTTCCCATAGAGCCAGAAACAGTAAATTTTACCATATTCTATTAGCTTTGACCATGCTTCTTTTCTCAGTGGATATCCATCGTCGATTTAACCGCAAATAAATTACTCAACAACTCAGAACACAAAATCAGACAAAATTAAGAACTAAACGCAACTCAAAATGCAATGTAACTCCGTTATCAATTATGACGCCAAACGGATAAAACGTTTTAGCTTGCAATTAAACTGTAATTCGTGTGAAACTGGGTAACATGCGTTAACTAATATCATTCAAATTACAATGAAAAATTTCAAGTTCAGTAGTTTCAAAATAAATCAACTGTATTGCATCAAAAGAAAATTTTACATGCTTTCTTGTTACGATGATTGTTTCGATTTCTCTCAACTGCTTGAAAATATCTACACACTTAACAAGATACTATATTTTACAACAGCGTAATTAATAAATATAAAGCTCTGCATTCAATAAAAAGAATTATTTACTCATTTCACATACAAATATGCAACGTAACTAACTATCTCAAATTGCTTAACAATATAAAGTAAAAGAGTACTTTACTATTTAGTTATTCTAATTTCAAAATAATCGCATTCTCATAGAGTGATAAACGATAATTGCACGTAAAAGTTCTTCAGCAACAGAGATATTCGTAAATTGTTCTATAACTATTAAAATTAAATATACTTATTGTAAACTAAATGATATTCAGCCGCGAGGAACAAAACTTCTAATTCAGATTTAACTATTAAATGTGTTTTCATCATAATTACTTTCACTAAAGAAAACAAATAAAAGCTTTAATGTGAAATATCTGTAAAATTTTTAATCAATTCGCGTAACTACATTAACTAAAATATGCATAATTTTGATATGTTTAAATAAAAGACTTTAAGTACATTCGAAAGGTAAAATTAATTTGCATTTAATGTTTAGTATCACTGTACAGTAAAGGAACAGTTAAGTCAAATTACATTTAGTTTACGCTCAAATTTGCATGAATCATTTAAGCTTCTTTGTATAATAACCAACTAATCTATATACATGCGGACAATATCATTGAATCTATTCATTACTATACCGGATAATTGTAAATATTTCTGTACTTTAAACGAATATAAAATGTCAAAAAATTTCAAATGGAGGTAGCTCATCAAAATGGAGATGAATTTTGTCTATAAATTAGCTTTTAAATTAAACATTCTATACTCGAATAGTTGTTTGAAAGCTTTAGGTAGAACGTCATTATTCCAAACAATATGCATGCCTAGGGTGATATCAATGCATTGTAGCAAACGGAATTAGGTAGCTGTTCTCTACAATACTTTTCCCAAGCAGAAATTGAGCTCTAAAGATGTTGACATACTAACTTAACACATGCAAATCGATTTATGTTATTGCAAAGTTAAATAAGAGTAGGTTGGTTGCTATTGATTTTCGATTATAAAAGGAAAGCGTAGGTAAAGAGTTCTAAAATAGGCTTAGGTTATTGAATGCTCAAAGTTGAGGCGTGTTCGAGTCACACAACACCGAGAAAAAGAAATTATAGTTATGTATGCAAATTGAAGCCGTCATTCTATAATTATTATGTTGCAGTTTTTGAAAAATATTAAAAAATATCATTGAAATATGTGGTGAACAAATACAGGGTTTCAAAATCTTATTACAATTGAGATCAAATATTTTTCGATTCAAATTATGACATTTTAAAGTTAACTGACGATTGAATGTAAATAAATTAACCTAAAATTTAAAAATTGTGGATAAAATATTGTTTCGCACTTGTTTTTCACCCTAATCATAAACGGATTAAAACCGCCTGTTCCAATTCTAGTTTTTGCCATACAGTTTCGCTTAATAAGTTTAAGTTTTCTCAAATCATATTACGATCACTTTCGATTTTAATGTAAACGCCTTTTTAATGTAAACGTCTTTACATTAAAATGTGATTTTAATATTTAAAATTTTAAAGTAAAGACAGTTTCAAACTTTTATTTATAATATAATTCTAGAGCCTAGCCGCAGTGGCTCAGAGGACAGAACATTCACATCTCAAAGAGTTGGCCCTGGTTCAAATCTTGGCGATGACTTGTCAATACGAATTCTACACTCAGCAACTTCTACACGCACGCTTTTGTCTGCACCGAACACAGTGCTGACAAAAAAATCCATATCTGGTGTGGGAACTGGCTTACGTTGTAACTTTCACAGAAAGTTGGTTCTCATATGCGAAAAATCTGCTGTGACTACAGTTTTATTTCGTAACTTTTGCTAAGTTGAATTTGTACGTTAAAAAACGGTTGTGACTTCAGTTTTCTTCGTGTTTTTTTACGAAGAAAATTTGTTCGTGTATTATTGAACAAGAACTTGCTATTTTCATTTTAATATGTACCTTATGAGGAAAAGACTTCTATTGCTCTATTTTATTGTTCTATTTTCTTGACAAGTTACCGCTTAGTATATGGATTTACTTCGAAGTTTCACGGTTTTGAACAACCCACCCAGTCGCCACATCAAAAACATAAATTTTACGAGATTTTTCCTCACACTATGTTATTCGTGCTTTTTGCATGCTGTTTCGCGTTATTCAGCTGTGACGCAGTTAAAATAATAATTTTTTTTTAATGCAACACTGGCGTTATTGCTGAAAACCACAACTCAACGCAGAAGAAACGAAAAATTTTAAATGTTTTTAAATTAACATTTTTTTGCATTTTCTAAATTATATCAGAGAGAAAAATTCACTTACGAGTCTTCAATATAGAACATATGACTATCTGAAGCTAAACACTTCCCTTTGAAAGAAAATATGTCTTTTTGTATCTTAATTGGAGGATGGACTCCTTTCTGGAACCAAGTTCCTGTCCACTTTGCTGGAAACTCACATCCCTTGGACGCTGGAAAAGAAAAGCAAATAAGTAAAGCATTTCGATTGTATTTAAAAAAAAGTATTCATTATGATCCATTCGCTTTAGGGTACAATGTTAGCATTTTCCTTCTAATATTATGGTAAAACAACCGGCAGTAGTCCGTCTATCAAATTAACCGCTAAGTTTACGGTAAAGAACTTTTTTACCTTTACAGTTCTGAAACCATTTTCAACTGGTATATTTAAAATACCATGAATACTGAACTGTGCGATTTTTTAACCATCTATCACTATCATGGTTTCAAAGCGGCAAAAGTTTGACTAATTATGAAAATTAATGAAATAAATTATGTTAAATTAATGAAATTTATTTAGCATTTTTATTAGTTAATAGGCAATGAAGTTAGCTCCTGCTTAAGTTGAGTTTTGTCAAGTGAACCGCAAAGTGAATGAATGTGGCTTAGTTAATTATCTGGTGGAGCCATCTATCGTGACGGTACATCAACATCTGTCATCACCATAGATGTCAACTCGTCATATCAACAATACACCACCATCGATCTAATAGATCGATGATGGTGCCATCAATCTATTAAATTTATTTTAAAAGCTTTTAATATATTCTTACACCGCTTGTAATATAATACTTATTTTTGCAATGGTTAATGAACAAAAGTTAAATCGAAAAATACGTAATGGAACATCATTACAACAAGAAAAATAAATAAATTTAAATTTATATAGAAAACAAAATTCATATTAAAATTTCTTTTTATATAGTTTTTCGTTCTTAAATATAAACAGAAAATTTCATGTAATTTTAAATGCTTTTTTTTTAATAATGAGTGAAACAAAACGTAGCCTCATTCAAATACAATGCTCGGAGTTTGTGGTAACAAAGTCGAATATTTTCCATTTTGTTTACAGTCAATATTTTTCCAGAGTAAGCTTGTTAAGTCCAATAACAATTATTTTAATAGCATGTGTTTCCGTAATGCGGATTCAAATACTGATTTTTTTCTTCTCTAAAACTGGAAATCCGGATACAAAATATCGTATTTCTTTTGCATACCACCTACAAACTACTCGTATCACCGTAACTAACCCTGAAAAGCAAACATTGTAAGGATATGAAGAAATTCTAATTGAAGACCCAAAAGCCTCCCTTCTTCTTATCTTAACTGAGAACTTTTTATTTAACCACTTTTTCCCCCGTTTCTTATAAAATTAATAATACCCTCTCCCGTTTTTAAGTCATTTTTAGGATTGTTAAAGAAATCAAATTTATGTCTTTTGAAGATTCTGTTATCTTCGATTGTCACTGGTTAATTTACCACGTTCCTTGTCTATATCGACCTTGACTATATCGAGCTAACAAAATGCACTATAAAATTTAGACTTGAAGAGCACCATCGATATATCCGTATTATTTCCTCCCAATGATGTATCTATATATATATTTCTCTTACACGGCACCAAAAAAAAGCTTCATTACAACTCCCCGAATGGCAACGTTAGAAAATCAACCAATGATTGCTGCTGAAAATGTCACATGGCAAATCTGGAAGAGGTGGCTCAACATATAGCGCTTTTAAAAACGGAAACAATAACCAGAGTGAGCATTATCAGGTTGTTCAATTCAGATTCATGCCCTAAAAACATGATAATATTTAATTTAAACTCAATTAGGAATTAATTAATTAATTAAAGTGAGAATGCTTTAAAAGGCCGCTGTTGAATTGATATTTTTCTACTGGGAGTTACCTAAACGTCTAAAAAACGTCAAAGTGTTTGAATTGAATGCGTTGAATTTTTTTATATTTCGCGTTTATTTATGCATTGAATTTTCACGCTTTAAAATGCAGAATATTAGTGAAGCTGCTAGGTCTTTTAAACGTAATGAAAGAAAACGTGTTCGAAGAGCCCAAGAAAGTGTTGAGGAATGTTATGAAAGACGTAGATTGCAGAGATCAAGTGCAATAATAACTGTTCAAGATGTAACAGTAGATGTCGAAGAGTATAATATTGGCTCAATGACGGAACAATGTAGTTATTGTAATGCTTACTTCTGGGCCAAAGAAAGAAATTCTTCTGGCAAATCAATAATGCTGATCACCAAAAAATATTTCATTTGGTGATAAAACAAATTTTTGTGTTCTTGAAAATGAAAGACTTTTTGAGGGTTATTATCTCACAAATAAAAGTTAGGGCAAAGTTTATATTTTTAAATAATAAAATTTTTTTCTAAAACTTTCAGAATTTCTAGCATTAACTAATTTATTATAAACATTTAGTTGAATTTAGGCGAATAACTGCAATATTTGATAATTTATTTTGCTAATATGTTTCTCATTTAGCCAACGTTTTGATTTTTTCACCATGTACAATCTAGATAATATATTTTTTTAAAAGCCAATATACTTTTTTAAAAGCCAATAGGAACATCGATAGAATTCTTCTACATAAGTACAATACTATGTCTTTGATGATAATATACTATGTTTTTGTGCTAGAACATTGTGTTCATTGGCGAGCGAGCGCAGCGAGCCATGGTTCACGGCGTGAACCACATAGGATTGCGTAGCAATTCTTGGGGGTTGGCGAGCGTTAGCGAGCAGGGGGCGGAGCCTCCTAGTATGAAATATTAATATAAATTAGGAAAATTTGAAAAAGAAGTCAATATGAAGCAAATATTAATGTTGGGCAAAAATTCAATTTCGAAAGTACTAAAATTATTTTCACCCCTGTCACATCAGCTCATCTTGATGCCTTGGAATCTTGTTTTATTCGTAGAAATGCTAACTCGTAGAAATGTTAACGACATTAGTCTCTCACCAACTCTCCAGGGTGCGTGGAAATGCATTCACCCCATCCCGGCAATTAAGTTTTGTTATTATACGTACTAGGAAATAATGAATTCCTCCATATCTTTTTAGATTTAAGTACATTTCGAAACAGTTACTCCGAAATGCACTTATACACTTTTATTCTTTTAATTCTTTAGGGTCTTGAATACAACCACTGCAGAGATTTTTATCTGCATATTCTCTGGTTACTGTTGATATAAAAATTACAACGTTTCGAAAATACTTCAGTTATTAATTAAGACTTAGACGAAACAAATGTCAGAAAAAACACCATAAAGGGAATATAGTTAAAGATTTTCATGTTTTATTAAAATAGAAAAAAACGTTATTACAATAAAGAAAAGAAAATTTTAATAAAAGAAAAACGTTAATGCAAAAAAAACTAATTTAATTAAATTATTTTACGTTCTCCTCAAAATTATTTGGAGCTAGATTCAAATGATTGTTTTTATTTATATTTTAGAAATGCTTTTTGTATTAAACATACAAATAGGATAGAACAACTGTAAATCATTCTAATTATTTAGGGAATTAAACCATTTAATATATAATAATTAATCACGGTAAATCTTTTTTTTTCCTTGATCAAGGCACGTTTTGTTTCTCCTTTCATAATTAATTTATGGAAAAGGAACATTTTTTTTTCATTTAAAAATTCTGTTGTTTTTTTTAATCCTCCCTTTATGATAAATAAAGCAAGTTAGAGTGAAAAGATCGTTAAAAAGATTTATGAATTAGCATTCTTTTTAATCGTTCTACGTAAATAAAATCTCTCTCGCTCTTTTAACAATATATTAGCCCTCAGTTTTCATTTATGAGATTAAAAAAATACCAATTTAACTTAATTTTGCTCCGGTATTATTTTTTTTTATCTTGAATAACTTTCTATATATTTATTTCATTAATATTTTAATCTATTTTTAAAATTCCCATTCTCGCTTTCCCAGAGAAAAAAAAACAACAAAGTGATAGATCAAAAACAATGGAACCGAGAAATTTTTCTTTTCTGAAAATAAAATTCTCCCTTTTTTTAAAGTCCATTTCATTTTATTTTACTTTTTCTACAAAGCATTTCTTTTCTTTTATTCTAATCTAATAAAAAGGAAAGAGAAATAAATGTTTCCGACGTGATCTGGATAAAAAGAATATTGTGGAAAAGAAAAGACCACTACGCGAAAATTCCACACACGCGTAAACATACACATTGCGATTAAGTTAATCGTAATCGTCTGGTCCAAGTCAACCACTGAAGGACATCGACCTATTCTTTCGGGACAATGCGGATGATTTAATTCCTCTTTTTGTCTCTGGCAACAGTGAGTAATGGCACACCGCATTAACGCGGATCTGTAACTAATGTCAGATTCACCAGTGTTCTACTTGATTTAATGTTAGAATCATGCAATTTCTTTTTAATGCAACAACAAGCAATTATTTCTATTCCTGCGTTTCATGAATTTTATAAATTATGTATGGTAATCAATGTAATATATTATTCGAGTGTTAGATTACATAACTTTTAATCGCATATAGTTGAAAGTAAATTCAAAACTGTTAGAATTTCAATTATGAAATTAAGGCAAAATAGCCAGCAGCAAGACTGCCCATCCGATTAGTCATAAAGTTTATGGTTAGGAACATTTCCTTACCTTTACGGTTTTTAAATCGCTTTGCAACTGGTTCAACCACCATTAATAACAAAGTTAAATATCCGTGAATACAAAACTACATGGTTTTGTAACCAATTACAATTGGAATAGTTTCTAAACCATAAAAATAAAACTTAAACGGACACTAGAGCTCTATGGGTTCTGGGCCATTTATGCGTGAGCGATAGTTTCGTATTCTAATAGTTTAGGGTCACCGATTTAACAATGTAGGACACAGGAAACTTTTATGCATTGAATGAAAGGAAGAAATATTATGGTATTAACTATGGGATTCGAACCCCTGTTCAGCTAGCAGTGAGATTGACCGATTAGCTCCCGCTGAAACAGGATGTAGTGCGCAACTGCACGGAACAAAATGGCTTCATAACGTTGGCCTAGTTGGCGTGGATAGAGTTCTGGCTGTTAAACCATATTTGGTATAAACAATCAGGGAACATTTCTTCTCACACTTAATATTTTGAATATCATCTTATTTATGGTCATTTGACTGA